GCTCTACCACTTGAGCCACAGCGCCACTTCCGGCTTTTTTCTTTTTGCTTATGTGGTGCTGAGGAATCGAACCCAGGGCCTCATGCATGCAAGGCAAACGTTCTACCACTGAGCCAACTTCCCAGCCCCTATTTTTACATTATTCTTAAAGTGAGCAAACAGAGATAACCAACCTGGGATATTCAATGAAATAGGTGGGAAGCCTGTCCACCTTTAACACTGATGAAGGGCTGAGGGAACAACTACCTCTTCAACAAACAAATCTCAGACTTAGGAAGCAACAGTAAGAGAGAATTTTTGGGGGGTGGGTGGGTGGGGAGGGAGGTTTACTATGGCTTGAACTCAGGGGCTTTCCTTTAATTTTTTTTTTTTTTTATCAAGGCTGGGGCTCTACCACTTGAGCCATAGCTCCACTCCCAGCTTTCTGGTAGTAAATTGGTGATAAGGCTTTCCTGCCTGGGCTGGTTTTGAACCATTATCCTCAGATCTCAGCTGAGTAGCTAGGATTTCAGGTGTGAGTCACCTACTGGAAGTACCCTGCTGGAGTCTCTTTTTTTTTTTTTTAAGACAGTCATTTCCACTGCCAAGAGTAAACTCGGGGAGTTGTAAATAAAGTCGAAAAAATACTCTTTGTTTTGTTTTTTGGCCACAAATGTTTCAGGAATTCCAAAGGGCTTTGGTTTGTAAATAGAAGAATGGAAAGAGGAATTGGCCTGAAAGAAATGAATGACAAGGTTCCTCTTAATCTAGGGTGCATTTGAACCCAGGTACCTGCTTTGTCTAGGAAACAGCCTGTTGTTTTTCCTGGTCATCGGACCTCACAGGCCATCAGGAAGCTAGGCCTCAGCAGCCACCTGGCGACGCTGATGACGCGCTGGAGTCCCAGCTGCCACGACGAGAAAGGCTGAGCCTTTTCCTTTAAGTAGCTGACTCACGTGGACGCTGTGTTGTGTGCTCTCAGCTGGGGGGGGGGGTGGATCCTCAGTCTCACCACATTGGCCGTCTCGGGAGAGGAGGCAGAGTTAGCCTCTTTGATTGGCTGTACGAGTCCGAGGTGTCAGGCCGGGGGCGGGGCGAGCAGCTGCTAGCCAGCCCCAGTTCTGCGGCTTGGGCGAGGGGTGGGCCGCCCAGCCCAGGGAAGCGGGAGTGGGGGGAGGGTGAGTCAGGGAAGGGGCGGGGCCCAGAAGAAAGGGCAGGGTGCCAGAGAGAGGGGCGGGGCCTAGAAATGAAGTCTGTCCCGGGCCAACCGGGAGAGCGGAATGGGGGAGGGGCGGAGCCTCGCCGGGTGATTGGCGCTGAGGCCGGGCCTGGGAGAGGCGGGGCCAAGGCTGGGGCCTGACTAAACCGGGAGCTTCGGGAGGCCGAGGGGCTTCGACCCAGCTGGGGAGCGAGGAGTCGCTGGCAGCACCGACCTCACCGCCGCTCCGCGTGAGTGCGACGACGGGGGTTGGGCTGGGAGACGGTGGGGACGGAGGAGCTCTTCGCGTCGGGTGGCTTCTAAGCCCTCGGGGAGCGGCCCGGGGCGGGGGCCCGGGCAGGAAGTGCCTCTTCCTCGCCGCGC